TAGAGCACGGACGGCTGCACGGGATCGGTTTCCTCGAGTTCCATGTGGATTTGTTCGTCGTACTCAAAATTCTCGACGTATCCCTTCTCGTTCATGGTGCAGCGGTGCCAAGCGCATCCGTGCACGCCGACGGCGCACTGGGCGTCCAGGTCGTCGATGGCAGACGACAGGTTGCCGAACGTGTTCTCCACGTGGATGCCGTTCCTGTCCCGTGACCTGAGCGTGCGGTACGTTCGACCCACGGACTCGTATCTGTCGCCTCTTCGTAAAGTCACTTCGCCGTCTTCGTCTTCGGCGTAACACTGGAATTCCACCTTCGTACTCTCCAGGTAAACCGGCCGTCCGTCTAGATTTCTTCCGCGAACGGACAACCTTCCGGTTATCTTTGAATATTTGGAGCTCGTCAGATAGACGAACATGGCTAATTTTTTCATAGAGACAACTATATATATTTAAAAAAATAACATTCGCATACAACAGATTATCGTTAAATGATTTCTTTTATTATTCACTTTTCAATTAATAGAAAGAATCTAATTTTCATCTGTACACCTTCGTACCGTCCGGTATCTGCCACTCCGACAGCCTCTGTTCGATGGGACGTCTGCACGTCGGGCAGTTTATCACCCACTTCGAGCACGATCGACAGGACGTAAAATGTCGGCAAGGCATCGTCATCACCTCGGAGTACGCGTCCAGACACACCTGGCATCTGTTAACGTCCTCTAGCGTCCGGAGAGACATCCAATCGAAACCGGGACACAATTCGTTCAGCACGTCGCCCACCGTGTAAGCCATCATGTCCTTCCAAGGATGAGACGAGTACGCCTTCTGCGCGATCGCCAAAACGTCCGCCACGCGTCCTCGTTCGCAAGGCCAGTCGCCGAGAACGGAAGATATCCAATTCACCGCGGACGGACGATCGTATCCTTTCGGTCGAACGTCCAATCCTTCCTTGCTTAGGTTAGTCGCCGTCCTGTTGAAAGGGTCATCCGGGTCGCGATGCACTATGCACCTTCTGGCGATCTGAAATGGAGGTGGAGGCACGCGCCGAGACTCCGACTTGCACGCAGTCCTCAATCTGTCGATCTCTTTTATCTCTTTCAAAGATCCCAATTTCAGATACCTCATTCCACGGATAGTACAAAAATATCAGGTTTCCCACTCCTCGTCGCTGACGGTCGGGTCGATGACGTGTTGGTACTCGTCGAAAAAAAATCGGTTTACCTTATCGCCGTGCAACTCGGCTTCGTTTATCGCTTTTGCAAACACTCTCATGATTCTCGTCGTTTCGGCCATCGTCTCCATGACCTAAACCTAACTGTGGTAAACTTTGACGACTTCACCGACTTTTGTACGACAGATCGGACAGGACGCTAACCTGACGGAACACGAGTCGCAGCAGACGAGATGGTTGCACGGAGTCAGGAGGACGTTCGAATCGCGATCCATGCACACCTTGCACGACATCTCGTCCTTGAGAACGGTAAGTTCCCTCAATAGATCTCCGCGAGATTTCTCGTCGTCGTCGTCGTCGTCGCCGACGCGTACTTTGTTCGTATAGCTTTCGACGGGCGCACGAACTCCTTCTTCCTCTTCTTTTCGTTCCGGGCGTTCGTCTTCGGCATCTTCTTTCAAGCGAAGTTCGGCGATCAGAGACACCAAGCTCTCTTGTTTCGACGGATCTTCGACCCCGTCCTTTTTCCTGTCGTCGGCCCCATTTTCATCGAAGTCGATTATGCTCGAGATCAGAACTTCGTTTGTCAGCGAGAACACTTGTCCTTTCTTCTCGAGATGATCGCTCACGACCTTTGCGATCACTTCCCTGTCGAATCCGAATTCGGAGGCAAAATTAATCTTGGAAATCAGGGTTTCCTTCGTCTTGCGCCGCAACCACAAGCACGAACTCCCGTGTTCGGCGTGTTCAGAAAGAGGAAGGTCGTCAGGCTCCCATCGGCACAGCGATACTCCGCAGAAGAAACACCTGGCGTTATCTTCGAAA